AAATGAGAACTTGGAAAAACAAATAAAAAATACCTGATCTCCTCAGGAGCTAAGTTAGGATCCAGAGAAATCGTCTCGGTTGTAATCTCCACTTTACGTACACTCCCAAAGAAGTCAGTAATCAGGACATTTTCAGGATCTCTCTGAAAAAGGTCTGTCCGGTGTCCAGGTGTAGACACACATAAACTTTTAGGACACACCTGAAACTATAAAGAAGATAACAGTACATTAATAAAGTCTGTCTCCAAATTCACCCCCATCACTTCCAACCTTCTGGTTCAAGTCCTCCTGGATCTACTAGCTGAGCTCAGTTGTTCCTTCTCTCATTTGGAGTCCTCTGCAACCAGTCAAAGGGAAATTATGAAGAGCTGATACGGGTCCTTTTGGAGTGATTTACCATTTCCCACTTAGAAGAACAGTTGCACATAATTAATTCTTATTTACTGGTATCATTGTCTAGCCCAATTCTCATATCATGGTTTAGGCACTAGTACCATACACCAAATTGAAGATTTTAAATGCTTCTCTCAGGTAATAGTTTGGAGAAATCACAAACTGGTGTTCTGTTGAAACTAAGCAAATCATGATTTCTCTCTAAACTATCGAGAATAGGAAACCATGGTTTGAAATAGGGTCAGATGGAATCACAAACTATGGTTTAGTCGATAGCTAAGGTAACGAGAAAGAAAATTCAAATTTTCAAATCAGTGAAGTAAATATTAAAGATTAAGTTCTAGAATCCAAATAATGTGGAGTGAACTAAAATAGCCTACCAATCCTATGCAGATTTAAGTTCCACTATGTTCAACAGGATGTACTCCTACTAAATTCTACTAAATATTCTTAAAAGGTAGAATTTAGAGCAATTTGAAGATAAGTGCTTTGAAATCTGTTAGTCCATTAGCAGATTCTAAACTAGAATTTCTAACTGATTGATCCATTTCATCCAATTTCCCAGATGGTTGTTCACATACTTATAACTGCTGTTGATTCCAAGTAAGCCAACAAATTGCACAGACTACAAAATGTACCAGCCAAATTCATTCAAAATGGCAAGATCAGTTTCTTATCCTGGTACACGTCTTGCTCTCATACTCATTTCCCAGACTTGCACTCTGTTAGGCCAACATTTGGTTGCAATTTAAAAATAAAAGCTTCATTCTCTTGGTAGTAAGAAGGCTGAATGTTAGTCGCCGATCATGTCACTACCAATCTGTCAGCGTAGGCTGCTTATTGCAAAATTAATGCCATCTTATCTAGCAATAAGGTTGCACCAGTCTCCTTAGGCAAAATACTGATAGATGCTATTACATAGTTCCTTGTGCCTTCTTAAAAACTGCAGTTGGAGATTTAATGTTTTACACACACACACAGGTACTGCTCATACCATCTGAACTGCATCACAGCAAGGCTAAGGTCTATACTTGGAGTCTGCAATATAAGACATGAATGCACTATGCACGTGCATGTCAATGTGCATAGAAATCTCTTGCTCAGACAAAAAAAAAACCACTTTCCAGACGTGCAAATGTCTTTTTGAGATAAAGCCATGGATAGGTCAAGGGTAAAACTTTGAAGTATGTAACAAAGGATGTAAAGAACAAAGCAAAGGAAAACAATGCCAAAAATTTTACAAAATTATGGAAGGCATAAATAATAATAATAATAATAATAAAATTTATTTCTATACCGCCCAATGGTTACCCAATCTGGGCGGTTTACAAGTTAAAACAATTACAATAACAAGATGTCCCACCCTCCTTAAAACACTATTAAATAGAAATACAATTAAAACATCAAACAATATAAAATGAATTAAAAATTAACAAATCGTAGCATGTAATCTCCTTTATTGTATATAAATGTTTTTGCTCACCCTAAAGGTCGGATGGATGAAGAGGAAACTACAGTAAATGGTGGCTGTGCAATGTGTGAGGGAGGCAACCAGCCTTGGGTAGGGTTAAAAAAACATACACATGTCCAAAAAGATGTAAAGACAAGAGTTAAAGTACAGTATTAACTCTTATTTTAAAAAAGTAACCATCCTCTTCTCTGAGTAGAGCACCAGAAGGTGAGATCTCAGTCCATCCCAAGAGTACCTAAAAGAAGCATAACAACCTCTACCCTCTCAGCACTCCACTGTGGGAAAGCCACCCAGGCATTCAAAAAGGCCAGGTGGCAGGGCAGTGAAGTGAGCAGAGGGGGATAGTGATTCTTTTAGGTTCTCCCAGGACAGACTGAGCTCTCACTTTTTTCCACTCTAACTCAGAGAAGGGGAATAGTTCCTTTTTTGATAAGACTTAAGGTACAGTATTTACCTTGATCCATGGATAGGTTGACCCAGCTTTTTGGGGTCCATTTTTAACCTAAAATTTTTAGACATACATGAGTATATACAATAATCAATACACTGGCAACAGTGAGCTAATGAGAGTTCCAATTTGATGGAGGAACTAAAACAACTATTTTGTAGCAACCACAAAGCCATTCATTTTTACAATTAAACTAGAAGGTAATATTACAAGTAATGAACTGACAGCTTCCTAAACTGCTTTGTACAAGATGGTAAAGCAAAGCATAGCTTTATTGCCAAGATTCCATGACTAAAAAGAAAAAGTTTCTATAGCAGTACAACAAAGAGAATGCTGAATTTGAACCTAAAATAAGGAGAACCTGAACAATGCTTCTCAGTCTCACAGCTGGAAAGCAGGGTGGGGAGAATAAAGCAAACCTCCCTGATGGCAAAATTCACTGTTGTGTGAGCAGATGTTTGAGTGTCAAGACATTATTCACTTTGCATGACTTCTGCTCCACAACAAGGCCAGCCTTCTGGACAAAACTTCAAGAATACACAGGGTAGAGGCTGAAAGGAAGAAAATCACCACTTTCACCCTTTCTGGGGGAGAGGACACTAGGCCCAAC